ACTGGAAATGCGCCCCCTGAAACAAAGAGGAGAATTCTAATTCCCCCTGCAAAGCCCTTTGGTATTAACCCAGACACCAGAGCTGTCAGGGCTCTGCAAGGGAGGTGATGGGGAGGCGGCGGGAGGGGGGAAGCGATTCACTGTTAATTGGCACTTTGTAGGCTTTTCTCCTGCCTTCAGAAAAACCAGCCCTTGTTTGAAAAGTTTGTTGGGCCTTGCTGGGACAGCGTTCATGGGTCACTTCTTAGCCTTTGTCAATTTGCTTCTCTCTTACTCCCCTCCCCGCTCCCCCTCCTCCCTCCCAAGGCAGATCGCCTCCTTGCAGCGCCCGGGGAAAACTCTCCTTGTGTGCACAAGATGCTAGATTCCATTCTTGGCAGACGGGTTGCAAGGGAGAGCGGGGAGCTGGCTTCTCACCCGGGAGCTGGGGCGGGAGGGGGGGCATCGGCGGGCAATAACTGGTTCCATCCAAGAGAATCTCATGGAGGAATTGGGGGGGGGGTGAAATGAGCCCTCTTCCCCTCCCCATCTCCAGGGAACCAAGCAAGAAAGTTAGGCACTGGGATATTACAGCAGCTGTTTAAAGTCACATTAGTGCTGGCCTGGTTTTTGCAGGGGAGCAAAATTCCCCAGCAAATGGACATCTCTGAGCTAGATCCTGATCTCTGTTACGCTAGAGTAAATCCACTGAGGCCCAGGGAGTGGATCTGGATGTACACCAGCATGACCGGGAGCAGAATCGGGTCTGGCACGCCGGACAGAAACAATCAGTTTCAATGCACTTCACTGGTGTGGCGAGGGATAAGAGTGGCAGTGGAGGAAAGTGGCTGGGAGTAGTGAATTGGGAGCCCCTCTCCCCCCATATCTGCAGGGCTGGGGACCCAACTGTGTATAGTGCAACAAGCCAAACCCTTGGGGTCTACTCCCCCAGACCCATCCTTCCCGGCCATGCTCCCTTTAGGGCCGGAGGCTTCCCTGCTATTGGTACCCACGCTCGCTAGATAAACATTAGCTTGGGAGTACATCTGCATGTGCTGCAATCCCATCCCCTCCCTCCCCAGGACTGCAGTGTCACGCTGGGGATGCCTAGAGTGTCTGAAGAGACTCCCCGCACACAGGGCTAAAATCCACATAAGCAAACAACAGGCTGCTTAACAAACACCTATTGCATCAGGTTTGCCCAGTGGCGGTGAGTCACCGCACACATTCCCTTCTTGTTTCCAGTGTAAAAGGTTAGTGACTAAGGGCAGAGACATTCTTTCCATCCTGTGCAGCTTGGCCGGCCCCTGGGGCCACTTCCAAATCCCTCCGCACCTCCTTAAAGGGCATTCTCCAGCCTGCGTGGTGCTGCTGGAACGCCCCTGCACACAGCACAAGCGAAGCAGCAGAACTCCGCGCTGGATCCCTAATTCCTGCTCGGCCGGAAGACGTACCCTCAGCCTCCCTGCTCACGGATGGAAAGACGGTTCCCCAACGTCCGGTTTAAGGGGTTGAATTGAATGATACAGGCACTCTGGACCCTGCCGCGCTGAGACATCCGCAGCCTAGACCGGAAATGATGCTGCTTTTGGAAAGCCAAGCAGGGGCCGACTGTTGTTACTGCATTACTGGCGTGGGCCTAAGGTTGGACGTTTCTGACGGGTCTGGAAGCCGGACGGCTGGGCTCAGCATGCCTGCAGGAAACAGAACGCTCGGGGGCTTTCTGCCCAGCTCCGCTTTATTTCCTCTGCCTTCATCTTGATTGTGAACAGCTCCATTGGTAGGGTGGCCCTGTGAT